AGGCTTTCAACATAACATCAATATAGCATCAAAATAACATCAACATAACATCAACACAACATGAAATAAATAACGGACCCTTAAAAAAAATCGTATATAAGTACTAGAGATGAAACTTTTTAAGGAGATTTGATTTTGATTCGTGGTGTTTTTTTTTTTTAGAGATGATGATCTAATCTTTATCTTTGAAAAAAAAAATAAAAAAAAATAGATACTGTAACGATAAGTGAACAATTAAGCGATAAGATAGGACAAATCTCGGCGCAAGGAATTTTCCGTAAGAGTGTTTTTCGTGATTTCTTTCGAGTTCAAAAAAAATAAGCAATGTTGGTTATTTCATGTTGGAAGGATTTTTTTAAGTTAACAAAATACAGGAATATGAAACATAAATATTTTAAGACGGTCCGTGCGTAAACGGTTACCGTATCGATAATATCAATAACATTGATAATATCAATAAGGTAGCAAATAACGAATAAAGGTGAGTAAATAATACTCGTGTAAATAACATTTGTTCAAAATGGATGATATTTTTAAAAGATATTAAAAGATATAAAAGATATAAAAGAGCTGTTATAAAATAGAAATTGAAAGTTCTTATTACAAGAATTCTCAATCGAAGACTGTAAGTTTAGAAATTACCTGATTTTAATCCTGTAAAATTATGCACATATAATATTTAAAAAAAATTCTTTAAAAGCCACATTATATATTGTTTAACGATTTATGTAGACTAATAGAAAGGAAAATAAATCAATCGAAAGTAAATGAACAATTCTTACATACGTAATACATACTATAATATCATGCGATATCTAAGAATCAGGATTTTTTTTTTTATCATTATCGTTATAAAAAAAATTTTTTTTTACTGATAAACTGTTGATAAGCTTTTGATAAGCTGTTGATAAACATAGACTATTGATAGTATGCAAGTATAATTTTTAACTCAAGAAAGTCTTACTAGTTACGAGATTTATTTCCCGTGTACAACCAAACCTTAAAACCTTGCCATTATGACCATTATGAAAAAAAAAATAATTTTTTTTTCTGAGAATCTTGTTTCTTACAAAAGATTTAGTTCATCAAATGATTCTGATTCGTCATATGAAAATTTATGGTCACACCTAAAAAAAAAAAAAAAAAATATCACACACAAGTTATTACATACATACGTAAGTTAATTTGGTTAGCGAAACGAAAAAAAAAAATTTCATAAAAAAAAAAAATTTCATAAATAAGGAAAAAGTACGCCAGCCGACTTTCTCGCAAACTCAATAATTTCAAATATATAAACGCGCTTATTAATGGTTATTAATGGTTATTAATGGTTCAAATTACTAGAAATACTAACTACATTAAATGAACGGATAAGATCGAGAGTAATAACAATGACGTTCAAATTACGAACTACATTATAAGAATCAAGAAAAATGGCGATTGTTGTTTATAAACATAAAAAAGATGATCAGTACTACCAAAACACTAAAAACAATTGGATTTTAAAAAAAAATTCAATCTATTCCCACTATTTTGTTTCGGTCATGGGATGGATGAAAACCGATTTCGGACAAAATTTTCAGGATTCCGACAAAGTATTGTGTAGATTGTGAGAAGGTTCTCACACAGGCCATTTCCAAGAATGACTTTGACAGCCAACATTTGTAGTAAGTCATTAATAAAATAATAAAATTTTAGTAAAGCATATGTTAAAAATACAGGTTTATAAACCAGCTTTGAATATTATAGAATGTTACAATAGAAAGTTATAACGATAAAAGTTATAGGACCTTTTATCGTTATTTAAAAAAATTAATCACGGTTAGTTCCGTAGCTCCATGATATACTAAATTCATAGTAATTTCCGTGAAGGATGAAACAAAAAATAAACATTAATAAAAAGTTCTAAACAAATATTGTCAATAATAATAGAAATAATTGGTTAGTGGTTAAAAAGATACGAAACAAGTCCGCGCTTGTTGAAATTAAAAAATTATCAGATAAGAGCCTATGCTAATTAAGATAGACGCATATATTTACCTAATTAAGAATAAAAGAAAATTAAGATAATAATGAAACTTAAACAGTTGATAGTCATAATAGTTTTTTTTTTACCGATTATATGCAGTTTTAACACGGAGTACCGGTACGTACGTACAGTACGTATGTACTGTACGTACTGGACGTACTGGACGTACTGTAGTATCAGGTAATACACTTTAAATGTCATTAACGATAAATACAGTTTTAATATATATATATAATTTAATTTCGTTTTAATATCGGTCAAGCTTTATTTTTTTTTTTCAATAGTAGTTAAATTTTTCAATGCTTTATTGTTTTAATATTTTTTAATATTTTTTTTAATATATATTTTTAATGTTTTTTTTAATGTTTTAATATATATTTTTAATGTGCGATAAGTTTGATAAAAGAAAAAATCAAAATAGAAATAATTTTCAACAACAGTTTCAAACATTCAATCCTATAAAGTAAATGATTATTCAAAAGATAAGTAAAAAAGTACGTCAATGATATTTTTTAAAAAAAGATTGGATATACAAAATAACACTATAACTCTAATGATAAAAACTATAAATATAGACGAAAATCAGCTGAATTTAACAAAATTTGAGAAAAACGTAAACAATAGAGAAATGAATGTCAATTGTAAAAAGAAAAACAACTTTCATTTAAAGTCAAAAAAAGATAAAGAAAATCATATGATCATATGTGATGATTGAAAATCGTGGTAGGGATCAAATAAAAAAAATGTCAAAGCATTGTAAAACATCAGAACAAAAAGTATTGAATTTGCTGAATCGATGTACACCCGCCAAATCCTAATTTGATTGAATACTCATGAAAAGGGTGACTCCATGTGTTTTTGTGACAATAGGTTAAAGACATAGATATGTATATCGATGTATATCGATGTATATGTAGATATGTATATGTATATGTAGATATGTGTATATGTAAATATGTATCGTAGATATAGTATGTATATATGCTATATCTTATGTTTGTACGTCTGTACAATACCTGATATGTAACTATATACCTGATATGTAACTATATACCTGATATGTACTATGTATAATATGTAAAATGATACACACGTCATACAGTTGTACATACGTACAGTACGTTCGTTCCTAAATTATGATATGAATTTTGGTATGGATAATTTACTATTTGAGATTAGTATTAACTGTATCATCAGACTCATCATCAAATTAATCAGATTCATCACATTCATCAGACTCATTATCAAATTCGCCAAATTTTATAAAACTGGTCTTTTTTAAATTTCGGTTTATTTTAGATGCAAGATAATGAAAAAAAAGTGAGATCAACCTTTTTCTTTAAGTTTATCTTGTACATTTTATGTTTAAAAAGAACTTTAGTGAAACAAATACACATTTGCCATGCGAACCTTCGTGCATAATTCAGAAAAAACCAATGGTCACAAAAAAAAAAAGGGGGAAATACGACTAAATTGATAAGAATGAAAAAGTGAAAAAAGTGAAAAATAAGGTTTAGTTATAAATTTTATAAATTATAGAATCGGCCGGTAATTGCTTAAACGGACGATTTAAGAAACGATTAGGGATGATTTAAGAAACGATTAGGGATGATTTAAGAAACGATTAGGGAACGATTTAGAAAATGATTTAGAAATGTTTAGAAAATGATTTAGAAATGTTTAGAAAATGATTTAGAAATGTTTAGAAAATGATTTAGAAATGTTTAGAAAATGATTTAAGGAGGGAACGAATTAGATTATACATCAGATACATCAGAAACGAAATTAGATAATGCATCAAAAACGACACTTGTATACGACGTTTATAAGGTAAGTTATGAGGTAAGGTGAAACAAAGATAAACGTGGTATAGCTTAGTAAAGTTTAAGTAAGCATTTTGAAAATCATCGATCATGAATTGGTGCTGTCAGGATTGCTAGCAGGTGAATCGTAGGGAATCCCCGGGAAATGTAACGAATAATACTACTGTAATAATGTTATTATAATTTATTATATCATTATCAAGTTTTATTATCAAGTTTTATCTGCGCTATAACGATAAATTATTTATCTATATCGATATTGTTAGATACCCTGAATAAATCAGGCTCTTAAATATTTATATAAACACAAATATAAATAATTATATTTAAAGGACCTTTCGGACTTTCCCTAAAACACATCTCATGTAAATAGTGTGGCGATGTGTTCTGATAACTTTTACCGATATCTGTTAGCCAATAATCTACTTTGGTTTTGTTTTTTAATCATCTGCTTTTTTTTTTTTTTTTGACAGAAATCCTTATTGTACTTATTTATCTCTATCTTTGTGCCGAGTATACCCAAAACTATAAAATTTATTGTATTTATTGTATTCATTATTTATAATTTATTGTATTATAAAACGTTAATAAATTATATTTACAGTTATTATTATTGTATACATATATACTGTAAATATACTGTATACACTAATATATACGATAATATAACTTGGGTACACGATATATAAAAAAAAGATAATGGTTTTCTGTCACAATCATCCCCTTGCATTAATTCAGTTTTGTGATTTCTGTGATTAGTGTAATCAATGTCTACCAAAACAAATATTTATACTTCTACTTTTCGTCCTCTTTGCCCTTTGGTCGTCCATTTTTTTTTTTTTTTTTTTTTTTGAATTAACACTCCGGGTGTTCTAATTTTTTTTTCTTTGACTCTCTTTTTGTCAAAGAAAATTTATCTTTATTATATTTTAATTTTTATGACCTATTCTTTTTAACGTAACGTTTACGAAAAATTTTACAAATTATTATTTTAAAAAAAAATAATTCTCTATTAATATCTTATACTCTGGCCCTCTTCTCAAACTTCTTCTTAAATCTCTCAAATCTCTCAAATTTCTCAAAATTTTAAATCTCTCAAACTTCTCAAATTTCACAAACTTCTAAGAAAAAAAAAAATTTTTACGAAAATGGTCTTATTAGTTTTAACTGAACGTATTCGACACGCGATATACCAAGCTTTACAATCCCCTGAATTTGATGAATCTGCAAAGCAGAGACTTAGGTCCTACCTTAAGTCTAGTGCATGCATTCCTCTTGATCTCATTAAAGAGGTTTCAAAATTCTTGGTTAATCGCGATGGAAATCTTGGAAAGGAAATTGGTGAGCTTGGTACTTTTTTTTTTTTCATTTTACATAATCTTTTTATCAAAATCTTGTTTTTATCTACTTTGTCCACTTAGTATTGTTTATTAAAGCCACAACGGTTTTAAAACATGCATACCCATTGTGTAGTCATATTAGAATTATTAGATAATTTTGATAATTTTTGCAAATCTTTTCTCAATTTATTCTATTTCCCACCCCCGATATTTCCCAATATTGAACTTTAACTTTAAAAAAAAATTTTTTTTTTTTTTTTCTTTTCGATTATTAAAACCGGACATTTTCATTTGTTCACGCGCCATTGACATTGACGCCATTTATCCTTATTTCCCGAAAAAAATTTTTTTAGGTTTCTCAAGCTATTGGCTACATGAATTGCTCACTGGTAGTGGTGTTTATATGGAACCTCGACAAGATAGAGTCAAGGTAAATCAATCCTGTTTTATTTTATCATACTTTAATTGTATGAATTTTTTTTATTCGCTAAAATTTAAAATTTTATTAATTCTAAAATTGTAAAAAAAAAAATTTTTTTTTTTTTAGAGTCCTGAATTACTTGCTCGACTGGAAAAAATTCTTGCTGAACAAGCTAATAAAGAATATGCTCGTATGATTGGACGTGTTGCTTCTTCTTATGATGTGGAAACTTTCAAGCTTCTTGATACTGAAGAGTTCCAAAGTATTCGTGGTCAACTCACCGCTATAATTAATATTACTTTTACCGTCGTTGCTGTATTTGCCGCCGTGTATCACGTTGCGCAAACAATTACTGGTGATACGGGAATGGTAGGTTTATTGTTATTACTGTTAACTACTTCTATATTAATTATCATTCAACATTAATCTCCATTATTAACTATTATTGACATTGACTATCATTGACTTATTATAGCGTGTGTTACTTGCACTCACCGGAAGCGTTATCGTTGGTGTTGCTGAAACTTTCTTGTACATGCGTTATCTTGCTGGCTTCGATAAAAATGATCCTAAAGAACAACGTAAACAACGTCGAAGATCATCTGCTGCACACAGAATTAGTCCTTCTCATTTCTCAAGAGCAAGATTGACGGCAAAATCATCATGAGTATCATGTGCATCATGTACATTATGAGCATCATGGCATCATGAGCATTTATCGGTTAAAAAAGTACTTTAGCACCTCGTGAAAAAAAAAAAAACTTTAAAAAAATTTTTTTTTTTTAAAAAAATTCTTTGTACATTTTTTTTTTTTTTTGTTATTGGTCGTGTATTATTTGGAGCTCTCATCCTTAGTAATAATGTGTACAGAAAAGGTCCGTCTTTTGAAAAAAAGAGCTCCAAGTACTATACGACAAAAAAAAGGGCATTTTGTTCATGTAATATAACAAAGCAAGTAATTTTTTTCTTTTCACCTTTCCATTTTTTTTTTCATCCTTGTTAATTCAAAAAAAAAAAAAAAAAAAGCAAAAAAAAATTTTTTATTCTCTAATTTCTCAACAGCAAAAAAAAAAAAATTCGAGACTTTCCGTCTCCTAAGCTTCTAGGATTTGTAGGTTCTTATGTAATTGTATAGTGTGTTGTGTATTTCATTTCATTTTTCAAAAAAACAAAAAAAAAAAGGGTTCGGTTGGTTGGTTGTAGGGTTCGGTGTCGGAAAGTCATTTAATGAACATTTTTTTATTTTAATTTTCTTTATTAAAGAAAAAAGGCAATGACCTTTGGCCTTTTTCTATTCTATGCAAAACGTTAGGATAATCTCAGAATTGCTCTTCAAAGTTCTGTCTGTGATGATAATGGTTGAATTTTTTTTTTTTTTTTTTTTTAGTTTTTTTCTTAAAAAAAAAATTTTTTTTTTGAACGTGCATAATCAAAATAATCAAAATTAATAAAAAAACGCTCTTAGCATTAATTTACTTTATTTTAAATGTGTTAATTTTTATTTCGAAATAACCTTTACAAATTTAAAAAATTAACAAATTTAGCAAAATTTAATAACGCTAATTTGCTAAGAATATATATATATATATATATATATAATTTAAACATTCAAATTTTCAAAGTTTGTTTTCGTTAGCGGTAAAATTTTTACCGAGTCATTCGCCTTTCACTAATTTACTGATATCACCTTCAATACTTTCGGGCTAAACAAATATATATATTATGTTTGTATATTTTTAGAATATAATGATGAATTTTTTAATACTGTAATAACGATAATTAATAATTTTTAAAAGAAACTAACCGTGACATCATGTTTATATCTCCTGACAACATTTCCTTCACGATCAACCAAGAATTTAGTGAAATTCCATTTAACATCTCCTTCTCCGTTATCACCAGGTGCACTCTTCTTAAGGAATTCATAAAGAGGTGTTGTGTTTGGTCCATTCACTTCGATTTTAGAAAACATTGGGAACGAAACGCTGTAGTTTTTGCTGCAAAATTCTTGAATATCTATAAAAATTAAAATATATTATTATATAAATTATCAGAGTTACATATAATGATGCTGGTGAAATTAGGGTGACGAGATAATTGGCGAAATTGATTACACCAGCATCTCCAAGTTATTAAATAAATACCTTTTTCAGTATCGGGTTCCTGATTTCCGAATTGATTGCAAGGAAATCCAAGAACGTAAAAATCTTGATTTTTATAATTTTGATAAAGTTTTTCCAATCCTGTATATTGTTTAGTAAATCCACATTTTGAAGCGACGTTAACAACTAAAACAACTTTTCCTTTAAATTTATCAAATTTGGTTTGTTTTCCCTCAATATCTAAAACTTGGAAGTCGTAGAATGGTAATGTTGTCATTTTCGATGAACTGTTAAAAAAATAATTTTTTTTTATTGATTGAATATAATTATTTCTTGTAACAAAATGATAACGATAAGATTTTGTTGTATTTGAAAGAAGTCGGATTTGATGAGCTTTTATATCGATATTCATTTTTTTTTTTAATAATAAAAAAAAAAATAATCATGCACAGATTAAATAACGATGGGAAAATTTCTGTGCATTTAATTAATAATCAAAAAGGATTGTTCTAAAAAATTGTTTTGAATATGTGTGAATCCAATCCATTTTTATACAATTTAAATCTTTCATTCGGGGTTAAGATAAACAATACTATATATTTGATTTTGTTGCATAGTTTATCGTTCCAATTACATTCTATATAGTGATTTTTCGTTTTCGTTACCTTTATTTTTTAACCGTTAGGTACTTACGTACTTATATGTTTATTAGTTATATGTACTGTACGTACGTACGTATCTTTTAATATTGTTAACGCCTACAATCAAAATACAATATATATATTTTTGCTAAAATAATGATGTTTATAACAATTACAGAATTACGCGGCTCTTATGTACGCACAGTACGTAACGTGCGTATATATTTACGTATCACGTATCACGTATTTAAGTCGAGGTAGGACCGTCCATGTTACACAAGCGATCCCAATTGATAAAAATTTTTTTTTATACGTTTTACAATACTTTTTTCGGAAGCTCGGGTAGATTATCTCTTCTGTGAAACGGGAAAAGTGTAC